TGAAATTTAGCATCTTCATTAATTTTTTAATACTCACTGTTATTACATACATGATCGCCTACATCATAAAGTTTATTTTAGATTGAACATATTATGAAGAATGCAGATAAAAACATTTGGAAAAAAGGCATTTCCTTTGTGCCTTGTTTCAAAAAAGGGGTTCTTATAAATCATTGCAGATTGATTGATGTCATAAAGTTATTTTGTAACCCCTTGGGGACTCAATGAATGTGTGGTTTTTCTGTGTTTCTTAGGATCCTACTGGTCTCAAGCTCTCTACACCAAAATTACTATTTAATGTTGTTCTCTCAGGTCATCTTCAAAGCATCTGTAGACCTAAATCCAAGATTACCAAGAGAGTTATTAGAGTTTGTTAAATATGTATGATTTATGTTTCCTTTATAAAGTTGATCCAGAAACTAATGACAGTGACCAATTGATTTCTAAATTCCTTTTAACTATTTTCCAAATCAACATTAACTATAGGCCAAGAAACAATGTGACATGGAAATAGAACAATTCTCTAGCCAAAACTAAAGCTATCTGGTGAGATCTGTGTACCTCTATTGTAATCAGTTGGATATTTTCCATATCTTGAGGCAGAATGGACCCCAGCTGGGTGACAACATTAATACAAGTGGCAGGAGGAACTCATAACATTTAAAATGAACTGTTTTTTTTAAATACATAGTCATCAGATACATCTTGGTAAAATGTGGTTAGAGCTGTTATGTCAGCTTTCTCACTTACTTCAAAAAGTGCGATGTGTTCTCCATCTGTTTTCGCAATCCTGAGCTAACTAGCTACATTTAAGATGTGTTCTTACTTAGGGCCATTCTTTTATGAAGGTGTGCCATAAAAGCATCCAGGTGTCAGCAACCTGCCCAAATGGTTCCCATTAAGCCTGCTTGGAGGTGATGACATTTCAAATGTCACAACGCCTCTCAGAGCTGCTAATTGCATTAAATTCTAAAATAACTGTATGCTTTGTACTCTACACCCAGATGCCATGGAATTAGCAAACTGACTGAGCAAACATAAAATCTTATCAGCATGCACCTTCTAAAATGTTTTTTTTTTCTGCTCAGAAAATCTAAATAGGTCAATCAGTTTCATTTAGAAACAATCAAAACTATAGTTGGGCTTTTCAGTCCCCCCCCACCTTTTTTGGGTACTAGGCATTAAACTCAGGGTCACTCAACCACTGAGCCACATCCCCAGCCCTTTTTGTATTTTATTTAGAAACAGGGTCTCACTGAGTTGCTTAGCTCTTCGCTAAATTGCTGAGCACTGGCTTTGAACTTATGATCCTCCTGTCTCAGCCTCCTGAGCCACTGGGATTATAGGCGTGCACCACCTTGACAGCACTTTCAGCCTTTATTAGTCATAAGTTATAAAATCTGGCAAATCTCATTAGGTCAATTCTAAAGAATATGAACTTACACATTTTCTGTTAATTATTCTCAAAATCCTTCATTCAGACTTATGGGTAATAATCAAAAGGTTTCAGGAGAGTCTACGTTACTATATTTAGGTGGGTGACAGCCATACTCAAGGGCAGAAATGACTTCAACCAAGAGAGAAAACAAAATGTTAAGTGACAAAATAAAAATCCAAGAATAACAGACTTTGAGAATATGAATGTAATAAAGGGGACATTTTATGTTAATAAATGTGAAGTCTTGGACTTGGTCCAAAACACTAATTTCTCAAATACAGAATAGGGTAAGGAGACATACCTGTGAGCTCAGTGGAGGGTTAAGTAAGACACATGCATCCTCAATAAAACAATGTGATCTTGAAGGGAGTTAATATTGTATTTATGATTAAGAAACTCTGTCCTTCTCTGCTGTGGCTGGTCAGAACACACCTAGAAAGCTGTATTCAGTTTTAAGCATCAGCTTTAAAGAGTGCTGGAGTGTGTCTACAGGAAGGTGAAGGAGTCTTGGAGCTCTGTCACAGTATGAATATCCAGAGAAGCTGGAAATATGCAAACTGAGAGGACAGACCCAGAAGTCCATGGCTGCTCTGAATACCTGCAGCACTGTCTTATGAAAATGGATTGGATTTGTACTGGCTGACTCTAAAGATAAGAGACAGAACAATCAATGGAAAATGAAGAGGGACATGATTTTAATGTAATTTAAAGAACTTCTACTTTGTCTCATATTAATAATGCAGGGTTGCCACTGGGGGTACAAGTTCAGTACTATAATGTTTGGACAAAGGCCATCTGACTACCCAACTGAATTCTCTGTAGTGGAGAATTTGACCTATGGATGGAAGTGGGGTGGAATAGGTAATATTTAAGGTCCATTCCAGTCCCTCAACTTCTTCAAACCCATAAATGGTCATGGTTATCATCTTGGAAAAACATGTAGTATTCACCACCTTCCCTGGGAAAAAGAAGAAATAATACCATTAGAAGTTTAATACAGTTATTTTACTCTATTTGATCCCAATAATCAAAACAGGAACTTTCCAGAGTACTCCCGTTATAAGTAAATACATTTTTCTCTGGAAGCTGTCAGTCATCTGCTGCCTTCAGACAGCAGGAAATCTGAAATGACCCAGGGTTCATTTTCAAAAGGACACAACTAAAGTTGAAAATAAGCAATTGTCAACATAAACAAACTTGTGTTAACTCTACTTTTTTTTTTCCTAAACAGAAGCTAAAAACATTGAGGGATTTTTTTATTCATGTGGCAGAGAAAACACAGCTGGCATAGTGGCAAGCATTCAGGGCAACCAACATTGGGTGGTACTGTTGAAAGTGAAATTCACTGGGTTCATTGGGTGATAAGGCAGTTTAGTGAACAATACATTTATAAAATGCTACAGTTTAAAAGATGTTTTCATGTACTTTGGGTCAGAGTTGTGTATTGAGTACCTGATGTACTTATTAAAAGAACAAGCTTTTGGAACTGAGTATATAAATCGTGGGCATATTTGCTAGGAAACACACTACTGGTCTGTTAGTTTGGGGTGCTTGTTGAAAGAATATGTCTTTGTATTCTAAAATTTAAAACACTGCATGACAAGGCAGCACCTGCCACCCCAACCCACAATGTGTCTACATAATTAAACACCATTTGTGATACCGCTGGGAGAAATTCAAGGAGCAGAGAGCCCAGAAGAGAAGGCCTCCATGCTAGACATTTCATGAGTGTTTTTGTGATCTGCAGTGACACCGGGAGATAAAGGATCTCACTGTTCTGGAAAACACATACCTTCCCATCAAATGTGGTCATGTTAATGTTTATTTTCCCCAGTAATCAACATACTAAATGTGCCTTGTCTCAACCTCCTGTCCCAGTAATATAAATTCAAGGTTTTCAGAAACAGACATTCATGGAAGTCAGCAGAGCATGGCGTAGAAGCTTGTATGTTTACAGTCCCTCCGACAAAATGGGTTATGAATCCACAGTGAGTGTCACACTAAAACAAACTGTTTTGAGGCTAGGATCTGAATTCTCTTTCTAGCCTAATATATGCCAGATTGGTGCTACCGTTCACCCAGGGAAGCTAGATGAGAGAAGATGGTTAAAAAAGAAACCAGTTCAAGTCATCAGGCTTATTGATGGGGGATTTTGATGATACTGGAAAATAAGGGGCATAGCACACAAATTTTATGATACTTAGGGATGTATATGAGTCGTGACAAAAATTCTAGAATATTCTATAGGGAAACAGAGGCATGGCACTGTTATTATTAAATTTCATCCCAATCATGTCAACTGTCAGTGTTGATGAACTCATTCCATGGGATTGCGCATCTTTCTCACACTAGGGAGAATATTTTGTGGTGCTTGATTCAGATGGCCCCTCAATGATTTAGGTAGCATTTTACCAACTATATCAATCTCTTCTATGAAAACTAAAATTGTTTAATTTACTCTGCAAGAGACATTTGGGTATAATGGACTATATAAACCCTCTCTTAACCCTTTACTTTGTGTACAATTAAGGCTGGATGGAAGGGGGAGGAGGTTGAAGGGAAGCAGGTAAGCAGAGGAAAAGTAGGTCAAGTTTGCTTCTTGTCCCCTCTTCAAATCAATTCAACTACAGATGCTCTTTCCCTTCTCTCTGCTCCACAGACAGCCGGCACCATGAGCCAAAGCCGCCCCCTCACCGCCTCCTGCTCCCATCAGGCCAATCAAGTGGATAAACCCAGGGAAACAGAAGGAAGATCTTTTAGGACGAGCTGTATTCACTATTTAGAAATAGCATGGCAATGTGAAAGAAATAGAGGCAGAGATGGAAACATTCATTGTTAAAGCACTGCCCCCTAGCCAATCATAATATTCAATACCTGGTTTTATTTTGTCTTGAGCTTTCTAATATAATTGTTACCCTGTTTGCTTTCAGGGGCCTTGAGTCAAAACCCATCAAAACTACAAGGGAATCACCAGGCCTAGGTTTTTATTCTTGTTTTTAACCTCAGACATAGTATGTACATTAAACAAACTGATCACCTATTTAAGGCTTGTGTCTTTATCTCAAAGTGGAATTAACAAACCCACTCTTTTGCCTTTCTCCTAAAGTCACAGTAGCCTGAAATCTTTATTATTTTATTTTATTTTAGGATATTTCATTTAAAAACTGAAGAGAATTTTTTTCTATTATAAGAATAGAAAAGAAAGTGGATAAGATCAGAATGGTATTATATTTAGTCCCATTTGCCAACAGACTGTGTAAGACTGAGGTGAGATGCTTAAAATCTGCCAAACCCAAACTGTGAGCTAAAGGATGATAATTTTGAGAAAAAAGAAAGAAGTCTTGGACCATCCAGGTTTACAATGATGAGTCTGATTAGTCAACACAACCGACTATTGGTTAATAGGTGGGGGGAGGGAGGTGTGGTCCTGTGTTCCAAATGTGAAGACCAAACCTCCCTGAGCATAGGTGAAGCAAGCTCCTGAGATTCCGGGCTGGGTGTAGCACATGGAGATCGGTCCCTCTGACCCAGTGTTTTTATGTTCTGTTTTGTTCCCTTGCAGAGCTCTCAGCATGGTGGCTCTTCTACTTCACTGGCATCCACCAAAGTCTGCAGCTCAATGGATGAGAACGATGGCCCTGGGGAAGGTGATGAGCTTGGGACTTGGTATCTGAGGAGAAGGTCCAGCTTTTATAGGGGCAGAGGAATGGGTTGGCAGAATTAACTCTGAAAAACTGTTAACAGCTCAAGCAGAAGGAAAAGGACCAACCCAAGCAGTTCGCGAGGGTCAATGATAAGGGGCTGGGATTGAACCAGCTCCCACAAGGGATTGGGATGTACTCCTTAGAATGGGAAGAGTTGGCCTCAGCTGGACCCATTTCCCTTTCTCTGAGAGTGGGTATTTCCTAGGAAGGCAGCTGTTGTCTGCTTGGGAAATAACAGAGGGTAACTGCTGCCCTTGTGTTCCCAAACTCTGTTCTCTTTTCATACACTGGAGGCTATTGGCTCTCTTGACTATTACAGCCACAGATGCGCTCTCATGGACGTGAACTCAATGTATGAAACCATGGTTTTACAAAAAGAATTAGTGATGATTGCAAACAACACTTTTTATCCGTTAAGCAAATTCAGTTTTTAGATTTTCAATGTGAGGTCGTCGAGTGACCTGGATCCCAGAATCAACTTTTTCACTAACTCACTGGATGGTTTGGGGCAAGCCTCTTCAACTGTCCATAATATAGTTCTTCTTCTGTAAAATGGAATGGTAAAATACATACCTATTTCCTCCCTTGTGGTTGTTATCAGCTCAAATTGACTAGGGAAAAGTGTTTAGAAAAAAGCGTTCTGATCAAGCCACTCTTAAAAAATCAGCTCCTCTTACTTGGTATTTCCTCAAATGCCCTGTGGGGGAGGCACTTTTATTGTGACAAGAGAGTGAGACTCTGGGGTTTACATCATTTCCTTATAGACTGACAATATAATTCATAATTCAAATCTGGTTTTAGCTTCCTGGTGAAATATATCTGAGAAGATCTAAGTACTTAGAGATTCTAGTTTTAAAATGAGATATTCCCACTTTAGTATTTCTCAGTCTTTAATATACACATTTTATTGTGAATCTCTAAGAGGGAGATATATCATTCAACTGCTTAAGAATGATCTAATCATATTATCATTTACTTCAGGCACATGTAGGTGTGAGAAACTAAGGGCTTTGGAAATGAAGACTTATGACAATAATATTTTTATAATATTTCATAAAAAGTAAAATAAAATCACCGCTTTCTCTAACAAAAGCAAAGTCAGCATATGCTCTTAAAATGTATTATATCTTGTTAACTAAAAGCCCCATTTTTATTTCTTATTAGTTTTGTTTTGAGTGGAAGTAAAATGGCAATTTTTTATATTTAAATGAAACTTAAAGACATTGTTCTCTTAAATACTCAAGCCTTTTCATCAGTCTTCCTTCCCAAGAGACAACAATATATATTTTTACTTGAACTCTAAATCATCATTGCAATTTAATTTCTAGGTTTCATTATGTTGAGAATCTTTCTAAAGTATTTTTCATAAAGCTTGCTTTATTTCACACACACACACACACACACACACAAACACATACCGAATTATTTCCTGGCTACCATGCAAAATCAGACTTTTTGGCTATACCATGTCTGTAGCTCAGCCACCTAGAAGTCTCTTTTTTTCTGATGTGTTTTATTTGCCTAATGAAATGAAATGATCTTTGAGTAAGCCTTTGGCTGAGCCTTCTTGGCCAAAAGCCTAAAAAGTACCTTTTATCAATAATCAGGGGAAAAAAAATCCCAAGCCCTGTGCTTTGAATGGGTGCCCTGTGGATGCTCCCATGGGAAGGGAGGGTCAAAGTATCTCTTTCTATTTCCTGTCTTCAGGGCAAACCTGTTGCATCAGCCAAGGATGATCACTTTTATTACCAAAGTACTATAACAGCTTCAAGGCTGTCACTTGGGAGATTTTTTTTTTTTTGGTAAATTCAGGTGCTTTGCAGTGAATTTAAAACATCCTCAGCCATCTCCTTTCATTCCTATGGAAGAGACAAAAAAAAAAAAATCCCTAGACTGACTCCTTCACAGGCAAAATCATGGCTTCTTTCCCAGATAGGATAAGGGAGAGGGCATTGGCTCCAGCCCTCACTTTATTCTGGAGATCATCTAGATGGCTTCTAGTAGCTTCACCAGTAAAGATAGGAAGAGGCTTATGAATATCCACAGCAATAGCAGCAGTGATTACAAATGTCCTACATTTAGATGATTTCCAAAAATTCCACCCACTCTAAAGCCCAGAGTGGTACCAGCATAAAGGTCCTAAAGTAGGCTTTCAGTGATTTGTCATTCCCCAACAATAACCAAATGTGATATGCAAAAATTACTAGAAAGCTCCCTCGCCACCTAAGGTTTGCAATTCATTTTTAGAAGAAATATTTAGTCTCACTTAAGGTCAAAGGAGGAGCACATTTAGAAAACCTGCTAGGCTTCCATCCCTTTTTGCATTCAAGATGCCTGGGGGAAAGCTAGGATTTATAACTTTAAAGCATGTAAATTTTAGAGCCCAGCTATAAAAGGCTTTTTACACCCCTAACATGTTAAAGGTTATCCAGTATATTTATGTGACCTAAGCATGGCTTATTTAGTTTTATGGCCTTGGATATTTAAAGCATTATTAGGCATTTGTAAAATATTTCAAAATGCATTTTCAGGGGGAAAATGCGTTGTGTTAGTGGCACTAACATAATTGAAAGTACAAAACTGTTCTGTTCACAGACATAATAGATAGGGCAATTTCAACTCAACATCTGCTATGCAGGTTGCTAGCAAGAACATTTGTTTAAAACCTGCTCGTTGATACTGGGGAAGGGTGGCAATCAATGCTTAGTTCATAAGGAATTTTACGGAGATCTCCATTTCAGGATGTAGTAAAACCAAGTGTCCAAACAGGAGGCATTTTTCCTGCTGGTACCATGTCAAGCAGTCAGTCCAGAGACCCTTCAGAACTGCATTTTTCTCTGTGCCATATGGAGCAATGTTATTTCTCCATGCTCAGCAGATATTGAGTAAATGCTATTGATCAAACTGGCATGAAGTTAAAAAAAAAAAAAAAAAAACGAAACTTCCTCAGAATCCTCACTGCAAGTACTTACATGGGTGGAGGTGAACCCCATACGTTTCCTTTTAGTTTATCATTTGTCTTAGTGAAAACTGTTGAGTATAGACAACATCTATGAAGGAGGGGGGCGGTTGCCTCACGTACAGAAAATGACATATTGAGTCTGAATCGTTCCACTCTAATTAGATGATACTTCTAAATGTCCCCTTTGTGCAACATCTGTGTCCCCTTTTCTACCAATAAAAACGTATTAATGATTCTTTCAGAAGTGTTGGAGGAAGGCTTCCAGATTCCAGCCACAATAACAGAACGATATAAAGTCGGAAGGACAATAGGAGATGGAAATTTTGCCGTTGTCAAGGAATGTGTAGAAAGGTGAGAAGAATGTCACTTGTAGGAAACATTTGGCATTATTTTCCCAGGTTGTATCTCTATCTATAGTCTGTGACCCATATGGAATAAGTTAATGTCTCGACCCCAGATGCAAAAAAAAAAAAAAAATTAAAGAGAAACTATTTAACAATGAACTTGAAAAATGTAGTGATTTCTGGGGGTGATCTGTGAATTAACTATGAATTAAGGACTTTGATTTTTTTTTTTAATGTACTGGGTGAAACTTTGCCAGGTCTTTCAGGTAAGTTTCTACTTTGTTAAAATATATATATATTGAATAGTTTTTCCCAATACTTTTTGAGGCATTTTTCATAGAAGTCAAAATATTGCTATATGCAGTTTAAATCTCTAATGGGTACTATCATAAAATTGCACATAACAATAACCTTGAAAAGCTTTAAATGCCTGTGTTGGTGCCAAGAAAAATGGTGCTTAATATACTAAAATATTTTAAAATGGATAATCCAGGTACTCTGGGCCAAGGGGAAGGGTTTAAAGTGAAGGATTTATCCCTGAATTCTTAATGACATACTCAAGGACAGTAGCTAGTAGCTATTAGATGGGAAAGTAACAACTAATAAAATTACAGAACAAGGTGCCCTCAAACCCTCAGCTCAGTATCAAATTTGGATTTCTGTTCTTGGGCACATGCTTGTTTTAGAGATCCAGGTTATCCTGCAGCTTCTTCTCAGAGCTATGTAGGCAGAGTATTGAGAAGTCAAGGGGCACCTGCCTCATTCCTTGAAGGAGTGTGTCCTCTAAGTTTCTGGGGGCTTAGTCTGGGATGCACATGACTCTCTTGCCCTTCTCTGCTCCCAATGAGACAGGACTCTCTTGCCAGTCAGTTCCTCACCACCACAAGATAATCACACTCCTCTGTGTTATACCTCAGACCAGAGAAAGCATTTATTCCTGAAGAGCCAGAGCTGGTTCTTCTCCAAGGGTTTTAATTTAGAAGCACAGGTCCATACCACATTAGAGACAGAAGTCTACATAAGGCCTCACATCCTGAGGGTTCTACTTTGGCCGATATCCACTTACATGCTATGTGCTCCCTCTTCCCCTTGACACTTCCTGGAGGATGCTTCCCCAACCAAGATAGCAGAGCCTTCATTAAGCTACCCTCATGCAGTTGCTCTCAAATTTTGCTCCACTCCAACATGTCAGCTGGACTAGAACATTTGCAACAGAGACAGTCACCCACGGTAGCAGTCACTCTCCATGAGGGAAGAGCAGGGGTGATCAGTAGATTGAAAATCCCTTTAATGGATTCTGCCACATCACTTTTTCCCCATTTCCCCTTATCACAGAGCTTGGCCATTCGTTGCCTTACTGTCAGATATAGAAAATATCACCTAGTTGTGAGCCGGGAGCCTCTGTCAGATATAGAAAATATCACCTAGTTGTGAGCCAGGAGCCTCTATCTAGCTTATGACATCTCATGTAATCATCATAATGATCCCACAATACCAGTATTGTTGTGCCCATTTTTATAGAAGAAAAACTGGAGGAGTTAAATGTCTAAGGTCACTTAGCTAATAATACTTAATAGCTCAATAGTTAAGAAGGCTCTACTCCCAAACCCACACTTTTAGCTTCAACTCCACTGCTTCTGATGAATTCCCCACAGGACACATAACTGAGCCAAAATTACATGCATTGCATTTAGCCCTGTGCAAATAAGATAGAGAATGAACTCAGGAAAACTAAGCCTAAGGTGACGGGTGGAGGTGTGTGGACATGTTTATATCATTTTATATTTCATTGATACTTTCACTGATAGTAAATCCAGCCCTTTTAACATGATTTTTGCTACAGCAGAAAATCCCATTTCTAGCAGATTGCCGTGGCCTTTCACCGTGGGGTATCTGGTTGTTTGCCCGTGCTTGTCATCTGTTGTCTGACATGGCAGCAATGTGCCGTTTTTCTCCTAGCTAGTCCATGGATTGGGATGACATCTTATCCTACAGTTCCTGTCTTCCCACACTGGAGAATTCTCATTTCTCTTTCCAGAATTAATTTGTTTCATTCTAACTTGGATTGTATTCATTTTGCACGAGTTCACATCTTGGGCCTCACTGTATGAAACTTCAGAGCCTAAATACCAGATTGCTCCAAAAGTGTTAGTATTCAGCTCCTGCTGAACAAGGACATATGGCATGTGCCCTCTCTCCCCAGAGGTATCATGAAAGATTCTTTTAATATTTTCCAGAGGTCCAAGAAAATTAAAGCAAGCTAAGAATGTTGTGAATGGCACACATTGCTTGCGGGTGTGTTCTGCCATATTTCTAGGGATGAATATGTATTAATAAGGGCAAGTATGTTCTTCCACTGTTAATAATATGCTGTCACAGGCATGATTTTTCTACAACAATGGACACAATAACGGGGTCACATTGGTCTTTTCTTCTGTGGTCCTGTGACCGTGAATCCTTTGGTAATGCTCTGCTGCTAGGTCCAGTGAAATTTCTGCTTATGCCCCAGGAATAATTTTCCAAGTGGCCTCAGGGGCTCCTCAGACATGACAAAGGAAGTTAGTGGACTGGGAGTTCAGCTGGGAGAAACATGCTCTATTTTGAAGCTGCTTTGTGGGGCATTTTGAGTCCATTGAGTCCATTAAGTCCCAGCAAAAGTACTCATAGAAGTCAGACCATGAATAAAGGACTTGCTAGGAAATGCCCTTCATTTCTAATTGTCCTGGCCTTGTGTGGACTAATTACCATGCATGTCAAGAGAAAGAGTAATGCAGTCTTGAGCATAGATGGTGTCCCAGGTGGCTCTCTGCCCACCTCCACTGCTTGCATTTTTAGTTGACTTTAATATACATATATCTACATGTGTGTGTGTGTGTGTGTGTGTGTGTGTTTAGTTGTAGGCGGATACAATACCTTTACTTTTTTAATGTGGTGCTGAAGATTGAACCCAGTGCCTCATGCATGCTCAAGGCGAGTGCTCTACCACTGAGCCACAACCCTAGCCCTTTAGTGTTTTTTTTAATGAGCTGCATTAAAATCCTTGGTGTTGATGCTTCCAGCTCTCCCTGCTCCATCCATAAGCCTAAAGAATTGCACAATAAAACTGATAGTTCTAGAGATGAACATTAGCTGGCTGTAACCCACCGGAACAAGCACCCACTTAGAAAAACTACAGAATTTTGAAGAACTACAAGAACTGTGCACCCAGAGTCAGGAGGCATGTCCTTCAGAACGGGGACTGGGAGGACAAGTCAGGTGAAGATGCTTAGACATCTCTGGACCAGCTGTTTATTTTTCTTCCTTCTTTCCTGCCTGAGTATGCTCTGGCACCTGATAACCGTGAGGCTCTTGGTCAACTTTGAAAATGAAAATTCTCTTCCAGAGATGGGATGCTTGGTTCTCTGCTACTGGTAGTTACCTCCTTGCAGAGGAGATGGAGCTCTATGAGGACAAACTTGGTGAACAATTTGCTGACCCATCCTGTTGGGGGTGGGATGGTATCTTCTAATCACTCTAGTAACTGCCACCACCTTCTGGAGTTTCCACAAATCAACCAACAAGTGCAGAGCTCTTGGGAGTTCAGGACCTGCTGGGCATTTCTGGGCTACAGAGAGACAAAGCACAGCCTGTGTCCTTGGAAACTTAGACATGTGCAAAGTATTGCTGCGAAATTAAATAAATGCTATGGTAGAGGAGCGCTTGGAAAGCTGTGTTTTCTTTGACACATAAGCTTTTCAACATTTTTCAAAACACAGCGAATAACAAGGAAAACCGCATTAGTCTAGAGTACCGCATGATAGCCAATTCCTTTTTGACAAATATTCTGCTACCCTCCCTAGGTGAGGAGGAAATGGGAGGAAGAATTGCTATGCTGAACAAGACGACTTTTTTCCAACTGTTTGGAGCATGCACATAAAAAGCTAGCTTCCGTTCAAAATTTGGAAATTTGCAAAATTCGGGAATTTCCTTCCAGTAGTGCAGGTTCTAACCATGGGTCACTCTTACTGGGAAGATGACCTTACTGACTGACAAGGAGAAAGACAAAAATTTCTGCTGCTACTGCCTTTGTTGTGGCAGAGGGGGTTCTGTGAGGTGAAAAGAATAGAATTTCAGGAACAAACAAGCAAATGTCCTATATTGTCACCAGCAAGCCAGGTAGTTAGTGTTCTTTTCCATCCATCCAATGGTAGACACCTTAGGACAAGGAGCAAATCTCTCATCTCTGAATCCCCTGTAGATCCATGCTAGTTGCTGAACGATTGCACAGGCTCAGCAGTCCTCAGAGGTCAGGGTCTGAAGGGAAGCAAAGACGTTATTTAAGGTTTTCTTTCTTGCCAAGTGCTTTCACTTAAAGGGAGCACTTATGTTTCTGTTCTTATGGTTTACAGTAAGTCCTAACACCTGTTTTAAGGCTCATTTTGCAGACAAGCTACTTTCCTATAAACATGTACTTCTGGGAACTAAGGATTTTATTATATGACTTTGTTGTTCTATCCTCAAGGAATCAAGAGAGAAAAGTTGCAATATTAATCTTGGTGGTCCTCCATGGGACTCATTTTCTGATATAAAATTTGGGTAAATTGAACAGAATGTTTAAGCCTATTACAAAAGGTATTGGTAGGAAAGCCACAGGTCCTTTTTCCTTGTAAGCCCTGGGGCCACCTAGCTCGTAGTCTCTCTCATTTTCCCTGAAGATGTAGGCTCAGGACAGAGACTGCTGGCTTAGTCTCCTGAGAGCCAATCCACCCACCTGCTCACTGGGGATACTGCTCCCTGCCTATATGGCTATAAAGGAAAATTCAGCCTTCCCAGATCCCACACCAGCCCTTGGCCCAGAGTACTTTAACATTTAAAGGAAACGAGGATCAAATGGCAAACATGGCAATTACAAAGCTAAGTCACACACACACACACACACACACACACACACACACACACACATACTTCTTACCAGCTTTTCCTTTTTAGCCCTGCAAAACTCCATCCTTGCTGTTTGGCCCTGCCTGGGATTGCTGGTGGAGATGGAAGCAGAGTATCCAAGTCTAGATTCCTCTGTTATCAAATGAAACTTGTTAAACCAGAGAGGAAATTGCTCATGGATTCTAATCTTGGGTTTACTCTATCATTAATTTATGTGTATATGTGTGTGTGTGTGTGTGTGTGTGTGTGTGTGTGATCATGAAAATCAGAATCCAGAAACCTTTAGGCTTCTAGTTTTCCTCTTAAGAAACTCTCAAACTCCTTAGAAGTCTCATAAAAAGAGGCTGCTGAAAAGGATCCTGTGGTCTTATAAGACCTAGGTCTTCCACAGTATGAGGAAGCCCTGGATAGCTGAATAATTTCACTTACACATTTCTGTTTGCTAGCACACTTATAATTTCTAATGTTAGCTATTGTGTTTTACCTCTTTCTGAAGTTCTTCTCCACATTCACCCCACGACTTTGCTGACGGTCTGAGGTCTATGGAGGAAATGTCCAGTATCCAGGGCCCTGTACTTAGCTGAGGCCTGGTTCATATCTTCCTCTATCATGGCCTCTCTGCTCAGCCATGGCAGATTCATTGTTGAAAAATCCACATGGCAACGTGGGAGAGACATCCTTGACCTTCTAAATCCAATCCTTGTGGAATTAAGGCAGGGTGTATTCCCCCTGAACACCCACATCTCTGCAGGAGGACCACCCTCAAGCAAAGGGTTTTACTCCCTCCCATCTGAACCCCAAAGCCCTCTAGTGGAGAGAAGGGGCCTCAAAGTAATTATTCTGGTTTTATTCACTAGATACAATCATCACAATTTAATATCTATTGAGTGTTTTCTGCAAGCTAGCACTATTCAGGGGCCTGCTAATGTAGTAGGAGAAGCATTTTTTGGAGGTAATAGACATGAATAGTTTCTAAAATGCCCTTGAAAACCATTTTTAACACCTGGCCTCTTGAATTTGTCTGTAGGAAAAAAAATCACTTTCTTGCTCTAAGCACGTAACTAGGAAATCACACTTAATTCACTATACCAAAGATTGTAAAACCCTATTTTACAATTTTGTTCTTCATCAACCTCGTTCTCCTTGCATACATTTTGATCCATATAATTGCCTTTTATCTGTAGGTAAAAAGGTAAGCTTAGTTTTGCACCAGAAATGAAAGCAGAGTGCTTTTGAAGTCGTGGTTTATTTGATAGTTAAGTATGCACTTTGTCCTTCAACAATAGCCGTGTCCTTAGGTTCTCCACCGTGATGCCTTAGAAATGTGGACACACTAGGAACCTAGTCAAAGGTGGCACTATGACTAAACCCTCCCTCCACACCCATCACAGAGGAGGGGCAGTGTTGGTTAGGCTGTAGGGGAAACAGAGACTCCAAGAACTGAGAATCCTAATTTTATGCTCTGGGAAAGTGAGGTAATTGTAATTGTCACTTCCATTTTCTTTCAATGAAATGAGACAGGGGCCCCAGGGGTCCCAGGAAGCTCCAGGAATAATTGTACCCTTTTCTATACACCTTGAGCATATCATCCCTGAGTTCTCCAGCAGAACTCACACATAAGCCCTGTCCCTGAACTGAGGTCTAAAGAGACTGATCTACTTCTTGGGAGGCTTCAGAACCCTTGGCCTTGAGAACCATTCAGAAAACTGTCACCAGCCACTGTCATGGATAGAAAACTTCAAGAGAGACTGTGGCAAGAAGGAGGACAGGAACTCATTGTCACTTCCAAAAGAACAGAGGAGAAATTCAGTAGGAGTGTAACATGGCAATAGCAGTGGTCATGTTGTAGTACAAGCACAGCCACATAAAGAGCTCGAGCATATTTTTTGTCCTTAGAATTGGTCAATCCATGAACATTTACAAATTTCTTGATTAAAAAAAGAAGAAGAAAGGAGAGCCTTTCACAATATATGCACACCATGATGCAAGGTTTATGGGGTAAGAAATTAATCCCATGATTCAATTGATTGGAAATTGTTTTATTAAAAAGAAACTTTCTCTTTGCAGGTCGACTGCTAGGGAGTATGCTCTGAAAATTATCAAGAAGAGCAAGTGTCGAGGCAAAGTATGTATAAAGTTTATCATTGTGAAATACAGTGTTTGGACAGAAAGACATGAAAGTTGGCTCCCAAATAAGTGAAGCTTACCCTTAGAGTTGCATTCTGGTGGAATAGAATGTTATATACTTATTTGAATATAACTTTTAAATATTCCTGGAATAAAGTTTGGTAGGAATGATTGGAAGTTCTTCCACTCCTTATCTTCATTTGCTTTACTTTCTTCCCTTCCTTTTGTGATCTAAGTTTCATCCCATCCTTTTGTATAAAATTATAGTTGTCATTATAGGCTCTGAATTTAATCACCTAAAGACCTTTAACATCTTTTGGCAATTCTACGCTACAGGAATATCACTTTATTTTACCAAAACACACCTCCCTTGATCCTCAAATAGTATCGTTGTGCTCTTTTAAGTTAGCTCCTCACATGTTTTATGTCTGATGATTAAGATTACTTTTCCCTTGGACAGGAACACATGATCCAGAATGAGGTGTCTATTTTAAGAAGAGTGAAGCATCCCAATATCGTCCTTCTGATTGAGGAGATGGACGTGCCGACTGAGCTTTATCTTGTCATGGAATTAGTAAAGGTGGGTGTTTTGGAAAACAAGCTTCTAATTGAGACATCATACTTTACTACACTGTAGAGTTCTTTCTTTTACTTTCTTTCACCAGTATCCAGTCTTCTATTTCTGTGCATTGGTACAGTGACTATTAATGGAGACTGGAGATAGCACAGTGGTAGAGTGCTTGCCTAGCTATGTACACACCCCTGGCTTCTATCCCCAGAACCACACACACACAAAAATTAAATTTAAAAAGGCATTTAATAAACTTACTCACTACTTATAAGAAAATGTTCAAGCTGTTACTTATAAAGAAAAATGCTCATTCTTCCTAATGAAAGTAAGTTTTTATCATTCAGTGTTGTTTTATTATTCCGATATGTTGCCCTTTTAAACTTAATGATTATTTTATAGGTAAAGCCCACTTTCTTTTTCTACTTGAAATTATGACTTGTTTCTGAGGGTTGAGGCCTTGTTTTTAGTGACGTGAGAATATGGTTATGTTTGAGACTGACAAAATTATTGTCATGTTTGAGACTGAAGATGTCAAAAACATGACAACAGTTTTGTGGTAAAAGTGTTACAACGTCATCCCAACAAAGAAAGGTTGATTTTACTTATTCAGATATTCACATTGGTACTTTATTATCAAATCATCTTTTTACCAACCTTGAAAATTATACTTTCTGCAGCACCAAGAAGAGTATTTTTACTATGACATTACTCTTTAGAAGAAGAGCTTTGAACCATTCCATTGCCTCTCTGTGTGCTGTTAGAAATTGATTAACCCCCTGTTGTTATTGATTAGTTCCCTGTTGTTAGTTGATTTTTGGAGAGCTGAAATTAAATTAAATTTGGAGATCAGAAATAAAGGAGGCAAAGACTCAAGTGTTCAGAACACATTTTGTGGTAGATCTTAGTCTGATTATGTGCTGGTCAGTTGACCACAGTAAGGTCTTTATTGCATTTAACCACTCTTGTGAATTCTTTCTGCATAATCAACATATCCTAACAGGCCACGGAGGGATCAACATATCCTAACAGGCCACAGAGGGTCTCTAGTCCAGCACGGGATTGCTCAACCATGCCACTAAATTGTACCTTTAGATTTAATCTGACCCAGCACAGCCTTGATGCTAGGTCTGGAAGCTTCTTGGAAAGTGGAGACTAACCCCAGCCTTGCCTTGAAAGACTCCCATAACATCTTCCTGAGAAATCTGGGTAGGGTCATTCTTTCAAACCCTAAGGGTTTATGGTGTGCCAAGAAGTACCTGAATCTATAGAATAAATAAGGCCCATATTCTGGGAAACAGTGAAGTATCAGTTATTAAGAGTGAAATTCCATAATTATTAGGAAGAGGACTTTAGATGTCTGCCCTCCAAAGTGGAGCACATGCAAACTGCTTTTGTGTTCAGAGAAGAGAAGTTCTTGTGGCACTGCCATGGGCCTCAGAGAGCCATCGGAGTGAGAATGGCAAAGGGGAAAGGAAAGAACATTCCAGAAAGGGGCCCTAAAGAGGACAGGCTTGGAGTTCAGTGAACTTGGTTTGTTTTGACAACCAGGAAAGAAGTGTCCTACCTGGTACATAAGGTAACTATCCTAAGAAATGGCAGGTGAAGAAAGTAAACAAACTGGAATGCAGGTTGGGGTCAGAACACAGAAAGCCTTTCCTTCAGGCTTTGGGCAAGGAGTAGCAATTTTTGATGAGAAAGAAAAAAAAATTAGAGTGCTATAGTGTGAGGGAAGGTGACCATGGATATGCAGGATGCTTTGGATAAAGAGCTTATGGAAGGAAGCAGTGTGGTGAGAGGCCACAGCCAAGTCCAGAGGCAACACAGCAAATGACTCCTTCACTTTGAATCATTAGAGGTGAGGTGGCCCAGAAGGATGTGCATGAGGAATTATTTTTAAAAAAAGGCGAGTAAGATTTGTTGAGAGCTTTGTTGAGGATAAATACAAAAAGCGATGACAGGAATACTGGAGCCTAGAGGGTCAAGACAATCATGGAGTCTTTGCAAGGGGCCACATGCAGCCACATATGTCCTACCTGTGACTCCACAGGTGCCAATCACATGGACCACTGTGAATGCCCTGCCTCTTCGGAGACCACCTGAAAACTGTGTGGCAGCCTTTCTTTTGAGAGAAACAGAAAGTGCGGAGATAAAACATTAATATTGGGGGAAAAAAACAAAAAACGTCTATGCCTCATTTGAGAACCACTGCTGAAGGGACAATGAGAGAAGTTTCCAGAGTGGAGATTATACAAGGGAACAGGGAGTCCAAGCCCAATAGTGAGATCTGAGAATCATCAGCCTACAAAGGCTATATTTTGCTTTTACTATTTTAAAAAGAAAAATTAAGTCCCTTGCCACATTAAATAACAGATGAATGCAACCGAGTCCTGTGCTCAGCTGTTCTGGTGCATTGTACGCTCGAATGATGCAAACATTTTTAGTAAATCAGATCCAAATTCCCTGAAAGGGTTTCAAACAAATGGAACTTAAATTGAAGTATCACTGTTTTGCCAAGTAGCAATAAATTAGCAAGGAACAAGGGAAATAAAAGTTCAGATGAATAATAGTCCTAGAAAACTTGCTTGGAAATTTCTCCACCCTCCCTCCCCTTTCTCTCTCATCTTTGGAATGATGAGTTCTGGTCCTCCTTCCTATTCTTTACAAAAAAACACACTATAGGAAAAGAAAACACTTCTCCCAACCCAAGGCAGCTAAATCTAGAGAGTCAAGGGGTGGGGGGAGAATGTCACAAGGCAGCAGAACGTTTTGTTAAGTGTGCAGTTTGCAGTTTTTCTCATTGGGGGAGGTTTAGGATTATGAATCTGCTCTTCAGCTGGCAGTTGGTGCGAGGCAGGTAGCATGTGTCACCAAGGTATTCACATGTCACAAGGACACTGCCTGGGGACCCAGCTTCATCTCCTCCTCTTTGGTGGGGGCTGTGCAAATAGTCGCGTGTCTGTCAGAGTCCTCCCCCACGCCTGTCTTGAGTTCTGGGGGAAATGTTGCCATCTTTCATTATGAGAGAGAAATCACCATAAAGCCCTTTGAGATGCAAGTGGCAGGGAAAGCCCTTATGAACCTAAAGCCCTGCAACCATTCTTCATCTTCTTTATGGTATGTCAGTCTCCTCTGCAGGCAGTCCCATCAGCCCATCTGTTAATGGGCTGCTCCACCTGCTCTTCTCTTCTCAGGGAGGAGACCTTTTTGATGCCATTACTTCCACTAACAAATATACCGAGCGAGATGCCAGTGGGATGCTGTACAACCTGGCCAGCGCCATCAAATACCTGCATAGCCTGAACATCGTGCACCGAGACATCAAGCCAGAGAACCTGCTGGTAAGAGGAATGCTATCTGCAGGGCACCCTGAGTTCACAGTCCCTGTGGGTGAATAGAATGTTTTCCCCCTTTTTCTTTTGAAAAATTTTACCTTGAAGGCTCATTTCTAGCTAGCCTCAGTTTCTCACGTAAAACCTTCCTTTTAAATGGATCTACAGAGGTAATGTGCCACTAAGAGAGTTCCACTTGTTAGTATTTATTTGCTAAGATAAATAAGAGCCCGAGTCAGAAAGTCTGCAGCTGTAGTTAATATCTTGGGCCAAGATAAGATGGTGACCAGAAGCATTGTCACATATATTTTTTTATCTCTAGCACTTTTAGGTAAGAAATTTTTGCCTGGCCAAAAAAAAAGAGGCCTTTTAGATTTTCTTTTAGTCTGGTAGCTTTACATTTTAATGATTTGATCTTAAACCTAAGAGAACTACATTATAAGAGCTTTAAAGACCAACCCCTCAACATAAAAGACAAGCATAAAGAAAATTGATTTAATATAACAAGGGACATTTCCCCCTTTTTCCGCTATTTGGATTGCTTTTCATAGATTCCATATCTCTAGGGAAACACTGAGAGTTCTCCAGGTCAGAAAACAAGAGTCCTTTTTTGGCCTAGTTATTAAGGGGACAGTCGAGAAAAAGTAGGGAGGCAGAGACCAGGCAGGGAGAGCTATCATTGGGTAATATGGAAATAGAAAAAAAAATTACTTTTTTCAGAAAGTTAGTTATTTACATGCACTTTTTATACATTATATGCGATATAGGTACATATATCCTCACCACAAAGATTTTTTTTTTTTACTTTCATCACCCATCCTTGAGTATCATGTATATCCGTGATTCCTGTTAGTTTGCCCATCTTTTCATAAACCCGGGAATTGTGGATTCTCTTTGTGAAGCAGTGCTTCTCCAAGGGTGGTCCAAAGACTCCCTGCATCTGAATTATTCCCAGATGCCTGTTTAAAATGCAAATTTCTGGGCCTCCATAAACCTCTGCCAAATCAGAAATTGGTGTCTGGTGACAGTGTGCAGAAATCCTCACTGCTTCCAGCTCCCCGAGGTGACCTGAAGCACACTCAAGTTTAAAATTAGATGAGCAACTCAAGTTGCACTGCACAACCAAAACCAAGTAAGATCTGCTGCAATGAGAACCCTTGTGTGCTCAGCCTTGTGCCAAGGACTTTACCATCAGTATCTTGTTTTATCCTCACAGCCACCATGTGGGGTAAATTATACTGTCCCATTTCGCAGGAAAGGGAACTGGGTGCCTAAGAGGCTAAATGACCCTCCCAAGGTAATAACAGCCCATAAGTAGAAGAGCCAAGATCTCAACCTAGTTCTGACCTACTCCAAAACCACTAGACTGCAGTAAGCTATGAGTGAGGAGTTGGAGGGGGGTTCATTGAGTGCTCTTAATGGGCCAGGTACTCTGCCAGGGAACAAGAGAGACAGGCTCCTCCATGAAGTTGACATTCAAGCAGAAAAGATAGGCATTCAAGAAATAAATTTGCACATAATTAGTTTTTTGCAATTATGTTGGTAATCTTGCAGCTTCCTGGCTAATGAAGGCAGCTGAGGAGGTCAGATCACAGAGCTCTGACTTAATTGTACCTCAAATTCCACATCTCTGCAGCAGCCTAAACATTCTCTTCTGCATAGTTGCTTTCATGAACTGCAGCAATTTTCTCTCATCTGCATTCCTGATTCCTGTGTCCTGAATTATGTAGGATTGTCTCGTGGGAACAGACTTACAAGTGGGTCTTTGTTGAATAATTTCTCTAAGCTCCAAAACATCAGTGATTGAAAAATTAAGGTTTCATTTCCCTTCCTCTCTTTGCAGTTCAATTTGGGGCACCCATTGTTTACTTGCTCATCCCCAGAGCATTATCTATTTCTGTAAATGCCTTAAATGATTACATAGCAGTATACTTTTACTAAAATTAAAATTTGCGGGCGGCTTTTGAAGTGTGCTCATTGGAACATAGTTTAAACTACCCAAAAAGAAAAAAAAATACTCTCTACACCCCCCTCCTTTTCCTTTCTTTGCTAATTTAAGAATCTATAACATATAGAGAAACCACTGGAGTCATTCATAATATAGGTTTAAGATATCTATAATATCTGCATGAAAAAATAAGAGATGCTATTCTCCATTAGCGTGATTTCTTACTATGGGAAACAGGGGTTGGTGAATTTGCAGGGATAAATCTAATAGAGGATAAAATAGAACAGAATATGCTTTGAGAAATTAGGATGACATCACTAATTGCACATGAGATCTCTATTAACTGCAAATTCTATCAAACTGCCTGTGGAAATGTGCAAAAGCCATCATGAGAGGCATACTTTTACACACTCAGGATTTATAGTCTGATGGGTAGAAGTTCAAGACCAAGTGCTTTACTCTTCCACGAGCAAGTCTCGTGACCTTGAACAAGTTGCTGAACTCCTTTGAATCTCCTTTAAGTTGATTTTATGAAGACAAAGAGAATTATAACTGTTAGTTCCCTTCATGTTTATTCTCCATTTCCTTGCAACAAAATTAAATAATCCCTAAAAATAAAACTGCTTCACCATAACATTGTAAATAGTAAAAATCATTTTTTCATCTTTTTTTGGCATTGCTTTAAAAATTTTACTATTCACCCATGCAAGGATTTGCTCCCTCATGTCAAAAAGTCGAGATATGGACTATTTTTGAAAAATGCTGTGATAAACTTAATGAAAATACTCTGAATTTATGTGTTTACTTTAAGGAAACTTACCAAATAAGTAAAAAGACATCGCTGCACATTTTGCTTTACTGTTTCATTATGAAACCTCAAAAATCCTTCTAAACTGTTAGACTGCTAACAAAATATTTGCTAATTAAGTGGTTGATTAATATTTGTTATAACTACCAAAATGTTTTTTTAAATGTCTAATTTAGCTTTATGTAGTATAATTGAGTATACAAAACTTTTAGCATTTTTAAATTCTCATGGCATAATATAAAATTCATCTTTAAAGGTCAATATTGATCATATCAATGATTTTTAACCCTTAAGTATTTGGTGAGGTCAAAGTATGTTAATGAGAAAATATCATCTGACTTACAGTGATGTTTCCAGCTATGATTTAGGTGAAAACTGGGAACTGGCCCAATACAAACACCTTTGATAAAGTTATTGCTTTATTTTCTTTCTTTTTTTTTTTTTGTATCACTGCTAAAATTGTTCCTCCATGTTAATCATGCCAATGATTTTTGTCGTTCCTGTTGCTTTACTTGTTGTCAAGCCTGTTAGCCTGTTACTTAGTGATCATATGCATGAGTGATAGGTGAATGACAGAGTGAATGCGATGGGCATGTGAGTGAATGAGTGATGATACTTCCTCACAGAGAAGAGGATGGAGCTGATATGCCAAGTCCAAGACATTTCCCAGCTCATTTGTTACTTGGAGTAGTCACAGCCTTAGGGACAGTGGTTTCCATCACTGCACTTATGCATAAGATCACTCTGCTTATTCACAGGATCGGTGTGTGTGTGTGTGTGTGTGTGCGCGCGCGCGCGCCATGATAGTTTAAGACTGAAGGAACTTGTTTTACAAACAACCCTAACTAGGATTTAATGCCTTCAGTTCACAGAAGTCACCACTAGATGGCACACTTGCACCCTTAGCAGCAAATATCCTCAATAGCACCTAGTGTTTCTTCCAGGGAACTGGGCAGGTCTTTTAAAAATGTATACACAAATATCTCCTTAGGAAATTCAGTCTTTACTGCAAAAGTATAATTTCCATCACTATTTTTCATTAGATTGAAGATGTAAATATAGTCATTGTCTTCAAACATAAAAAAATGTATATTTAAACCTTTTCCCTCCCAAACTCTGCTGTAATCTCTAGAAGAAGGCAGTTTCTCAGAGACTCTGTCTCTCATGGTTAGAAATGTTCTGTTAGAAGCTGTCTGGTGAGCGTTTGTGCCTGCTCCTACCTGCCCCCCAAGCAACATGTACAGCTCATCATTCTTATTTCATTCAATGGATGATATCTAGCCACAAGTTCTTCCTGTTAACCCCAAGGAATGATCACAGTTTATCTTGTAATTCTTCTTTAACTCTTCTTAATATCCTTTCATGATGACAACCAAGCTCACGAGATAATGGATTTCTGCCTTAAACCCAAGACTCTTGTCCCCAAATCCCATCCATTTTATTGTAGAATAGCTAGCATTGGTAGACAAAGTGAGTGCCTTACATGTAAAATGTCTAGAGGTCATGAACAAAAACACACCTGGGTAGATTTGTCCTCAGCACCCTATACAGTTGTCCCTAAAGATCCATAGGGGATTGGTTCCAGGACTCCCTGTGGATAGTCCCAAATCTGTGAGGCTCAAGTCCCTTATATAAAATGGCATAATATTTACATAGAACCTACGTACATTCTTTTGTATATTTTAAATCATCTCCAAATGACTTATAATACTTCATACAAAGTAGATGCTACATAAATAGTTGTTATACTGCATTGTTTAGGGAACAGTGATGAGGAAAACTTTTGTACATGTTCAGTACAGATATTTTTCTCAAATGTTTTTGATCTGCATATTCAGACTCAGATATGGAAGACAAATTATAGTATACACGTGGGCAACCAGAGTGTGTTGACTATGGATTGGTGATTACCCAGAGAAAGAGACAGCAGTCTTCCACGATTGTGTCTCTAGCCCTGCTCTAATCAACTTTGACTCTGTCTTGAATGAAGATGTATTATACCAAATAATGACAGAACTGAGATCCAAGGATACCTTTGGCTTTATAAAGGTTCAAAATCAGTAAGGTGAAATTTCATGAGAAATAAACATAAATCTCTATGAACTCGGTGGTTCTGGCATAGTTGTTTTATTGATAATTACCAAAAAGGAATAATGGGAAAACTTGGCCTGGTTGCAGGTCAGAAAGGCCATGTGTCAACTCTAGTTCAGTGTGAGTCTCAGGGGGACACAGCTACTAGGACTATTAATGTGC